CAGGGTCCTGGGATCGAGCCCCACATCGGGCTCCCTGCTCCGCGGGAAGCCTGCTTCTCCCTCTCCCACTCCCCCTGCTTGTGTTCCCTCTCTCGCTGCCAAAAAATAAAATCTTAAAAAACAAAACAAAACAGGATTTTAGTAACAAGTGCAGTTAACCTCCGGTTGAACTCATATGCTAGTATACTTTGTCATTCTTGCTTTTAATCTTCACATCACCGAGATAGGTGGGTTTATGCTCATTTTATAAGTAAAGCAATGCAGGCATGCAGGGTGTCGATGACTTGGCAAAGGACCCAAGGCTAAATGGCACACTAAATGGGCCACTGACCACCTGTGTGCTAGACTTGGGGATACTCGTAGACCTGCCCCTGAGCTCCAGTCCAGGTCTCATTAGGCACTTGGGATCATGCAGTTATTCCTCCCCCTTATTCCTGAGGCTCTCGGGGGCTCGACTCTCTTGCCAGCTGGGCACTGAGACAGCCCCCACGTGGCCCTTCCTTGGCTGAGGACTTAAAGCTGAAGATGGTTTTAATGAAGCCATGACCTTCTTTGGTGATACTATTTTTCTAGGCCATTGGTGCTCGGAACTTGCTCAAATCTATAGCAAAACAGAGAGAAGCCCAACAGCAGCAACTCCAAGCACTAATAGCAGAAAAGAAAATGCAGCTTGAAAGGTAAGAAGATGTAAAGCAAGTTCTTTACTCAACTGCAATTCCATTCTTCCTTCTTGAACGGTCACCTCTTATCCTTCTTCCTCATTGTTCTCCCAGGAATAGTGTCTCACTTATCCTGATTTGAAGATTTAAAAAAATAAAATTACATTTGATGAGAAAGAAAATTTCTTAATATAAAACCACCTCTAATATTGAGAGCTTGAAAGCTCAGGTAGCAAGCGTCCAGGCTTGGCTGGTTCTCCTAAAGGAAAACACCTCTCGGGGCTGGAGACTACTCATGGGTGGCCCTAGGCTGGGCTTTGCCTCTTTGTTCTTTCTTACCCTCACTTCTTCATTGTGAACTCACATCATTTCTTGGCATTATTTAAATCATTTATATTCTTCTCTAGAAGAATTAAATCCATGGTTTATTTCATCCATTCTTAGGGTTTCTAACAATTTTGTTTTTCAGGTATCGGGTTGAATATGAAGCTTTGTGTAAAGTAGAAGCAGAACAAAATGAATTTATTGACCAATTTATTTTTCAGAAATGAACTGAAAATTTCATTTTACAGCAGGAGGGCAAAAAAATAAGACCCAAAAAAACCTCTGTACTGTTCCTGTGACTTGACTAATGGCCCATGTACGTCCTGAGGGACGGTGTGTAACGAACGCAGCATCTCCAAAGGTGGGAAACAGATCTGGGGAGCTTGCTGCAGATGTCCATGCGCAGCTGCTGAACACCTGTGGCTACGGTGGTCCAGGCTCTCACCTCTTGGCATTCTTAGCCTGAACTGAGCAGTCTGTAAATGATTTTTTGTTTTTTTTTTTTTGTAAATTCAAAGCTTTGGAAAGGAAGAGCAATAAATTATTGTTTTCAAATGGCTTGATCTACCTCTTTTCCTGGTGCCATTGAAGTGTACATTTAACATCTTGGGAGAACCCTGGACTCTTGAGCCCCTCCCTCATCCACAAAATAAACCAGGCAGTGGTCAGTAGGGACCTTTATTTGGACCAGACACATGAGTCAGATGATACTCCCAACAGTCAGACCAATATGCCTTATGAGCAAAACAGACCAAAAGAGGGAACCAAACAGTACCAGTTATCATTTTCCATGTGTGTTCACAGGTATGTGTGTGTGTGTATGTTTGAGTTGACCTCGAGTACAAATTTAGAGAAAGCTAAGGAACCCAGTGAAGAGACCCTGCATTTACACAATGGACATGTCATGCCCAGCTGCCCTTCCACTTTGAGAACAAGCCAGGATGGATGATGAAACTCTCAGGAAGGGTGAAGTTATCCAACAGGAAGCACACTTCCAGATCAGGTTTGAGACACCAGACCTCAGAGGGAAGGGACTTATGTCAGGTGGTCTGTAAAAACAGAGAAGACTAAGGTATGGAAAGAATGAATCAGGAGAGGATTAAAAAAAAAAAAAAAGTCTTTTCTGGGATGACCTGTTTAAGACAGAAACAAAACACCTTCCAGCTTAATCCATTTCTGAAAGTCAGGCCAGAGCTGACCCTTGAGTAAAACCAAGTTCAGGCCTCCTGCAGAACCTTTCCCCAACCAAGGGTGGTGGCAAAAAACCCCATGATACAGTTTTTAATGAATATTAAAGAGGCATAATTTCAAACTTAAAAATGACCTGAAAAATCCCACCTTTCATTTTGCTGATAAAGGATATGCTGCAGAGAATCAGGAGTCAAGGGTTTAATCACATGGGCACTATGGGTCAGGTGATTCATGAATGTGCCAAGCAGGCCACGTTTCTTGGAAGTTTATCCAGGATCTGGTCTGGTCCTGCTCACAATGGAACTTGGGCACAAGGTGAGGTATTTGGCACCACTTCCCTATAACCTAGCCCACACCCTTCAGTCCATGCTCAGGTGATTGGTCTGTTTGCGCCAGTATCCTCAGAAGGGGGCTTCTGATGTGGCTCCTGCCAGAGTCTTGCTCTTTCTGCGTCGCTGGTGTGTTTCAAATGCTACTGAAGACATGGGTTCTGAGCAGTTTTCCTCATACTGGGTCCAACCGGAAAACTGCCCTATGGGCATCTCCCCGCCCCCCCCCACCCCGGCCCGTCATTATTTCTCTCATTTTTTCTTTCTTTTCTCCTCATACTTGTAGTAGGGGCTCCGCAACATGAAAAGTAGAAGCATAAGAGGGATGAGAAAGTAGGGGGCATAGACAGATAAGAGGGTAAGTCGTTCATGGAAAGTCTTAGGTCCTTGTCCTTTGAAACCACTGGCTTTGGAGAAATCATCAAATAGAAACGTGGAGAGAATTGGAATTAGAATTGTCATGGTGTGAACTGAGTAGATGATTGCAGGGGTGCGGATCCACCTGCGGCCTCCTGAAGTGGGGGGGAAGAGAGAGAGAGAGATAAGTGTTTGGTCTGTTCGTGACCCTAGGGGTGCCCACAATCTTCTCCATGCCTGCTCCCTTCAGCTGACTCCGTCTACCCCCCACTGCAAACGAATGGAGAACTGGAGGTGCTCTAACACTACCTAACACGTGGAGCTGGGGCTCTAGCACACTGCTGGCCAGAGAACCAAGGCTGGGGGGCAGGATTTAATGGAGAAAAACTCTAGGGCAGTAAAATGGCCATTGCAGTTTACACAAGGCGGGGGGGAGGGGCCCGCCACCAGCATCTGTTAGCAATTATATATAGGTGAGAAGATCAACAGCTTCTGCCAAGACATGGAGTTGGGGGCTGCAGTGGGAAAGAGGCTGTATGAGCTTAGTGACCATGTACATTAGTGTGGCCCCCGTCTTTATAAAAGCATTAGTCGCAGGGGAACACTGTAAGAATAAATGAGAAGTGAAGCCCTTCCGGGGTGAGCTGGATGCTACTGCTCAAAAGCCAGTCTGGTGCTACCCAAATCAGAAAAATAAAAGCCAATGATAAAAGGAAAATTCTGCAGGGGTAAAAACAAGAAAAAGGAACAAGTTCAATCTGTAAGCAGCCTCCGGTGTAGGGAGATTTCCAGCTAAGCACAGGCACAGGCCTGAGCCACATTAACGTCCCTTTACCAGCTCCCTCCTGCCATTCCCACCCCACCCCAGGTCACCCTCGCACAAACTACAGGGACCGCCGCTTCTCTGAGACACTTTCCCAAAAGATTTCTGGGACCTAATTTCAGAGCAAAAGTGGTTGTTACCCCACCAGTTACCTACCTCTTAAGAAGGCGTACGTCGCTATGGGAAAGAAAGGCAGCTGGAACACAAGCTCGCAAAACAGGAAGGACTTAAACCATGTTGGGGGGGCCTGTAGCAGAGGGTCTTTGAACTCCTTAGTATACCACTTCAGCAGGTTTGTCAACTGAGGAAAGAGAAAGGTCACGACGCATGCAGCCGCCTGGCAGGACAGGCCAGCAGCTCCATCCCATGGCAGCCCAGGTGGTCTTCAGAAAAGCTCCCTCGCTCCTCCGAGAGGCTTCTCTCAGCTCTTCCAGGCCCTCTGGGCTACCCAGCATCTGTTCCTGACTCTGTGACAACACACAGCCCGTTGTGTTGCCCACTGTCAAGAGCAACGATATCTAGTACTTAGTACGCTCTCAGTTCGAGGAATGAACATACAAAGGCAACAAATCTGCCAGCAATCTCCTTCCTGGTAAAGGACAGCCGTGAAGAGCGTCCTACCATTTGGCTGGAACAAGAGCAGCCGCACACCAGGCTCCGAGGGCCAGACCGCCTCAAATACAGAAATGAACCGAGTTTGTCTTTTGGGGGCAGGGGGTGTGTGTGTGGGGGGGGGGATGGAAGGGAGATACATTTAACTTCTATAAAGATGCAATTTAATGCCTAAATCTCAAGCTCCTCATCATTCTTAACTACTCTAGTTCTGCAGAGTTTTCTTGCAGGAGACCAGTAGGCTATTTGTAGAACAAACTGCCCAAACCACAAACTACAGAGCTTCTAGGCTATGTCGCGGCCTGAGGGTTAGCAGTCCCGGTTCCAGCTTGGGGCCCACCCTCCTAATTACACTGTTAAATCAAAAGATGCCGATCTGTGAACACGTGGCTGCCGGGGCAGAGGAAGGAAGCAGGAAGGTTTGAGGTTGCCCATTTTGTGCCCTTTGTAAGAACCCGAAGCGCAGGGCTCCCCACACCACATGGACTACGGAGGGTCTGTTGCATCTTACATCCTGTCTTGACACACCTGTCTCCAAAGCCAAATAGGTGTCTTGATATTATGATAAATAAAGGCAACTTCCAGTGTGAGAATTTTGCCTGCAATGGAAAATCCAAAGACATTTTTCCTGTTAATTTTTAATCAAAAGATTAAGGCTCACTATTGTGAAATTGAGGCCTCACTGCTGAAAGTAAGCTTTAAGCAAATATCCAGAAACAAACATTCTGTTAGCATGATCTTAATTGCAGGAAGGCTCTGGCTCGATAACCAGTTTATTGACCAAGTGATATCAAATTTGTACTTGATTCGAAATCGAAATCCACGGCAATACCCTTAGCTTCCTTCTAGGCACTTTTCAGGGTGGTAATGGGGTAGAAAATACTCATAAAGGTTAAGTCCCTGCACCTCTCCTGGGCTCTGTTTCCTCATCTGTAAAACAAGCAACTTGGGACCAAATGTTTAAGGTCTTTTTTTGCTTTCCAGATTTTCTTAAAAAAAAAAAAAAAAATACCGGGGCGCCTGGGTGGCTCAGTTGATTAAGCGACTGCCTTCGGCTCAGGTCATGATCCTGGAGTGCCGGGATGGAGTCCCGCCCGGCAGGGAGTCTGCTTCTCCCCCTGACCCTCCCCCTTCTCATGCTCTCTCTATCTCATTCTCTCTCTCAAATAAATAAATAAAATCTTTAAAAAATAAATAAATAAAAATCAGATTTCATCTCTAAATCTGGATTTTTGGCTGTCTTGAAAATCAGTTCTGGCAGCCGGGGAACTTAATTCTTTTTTAACCATTGCTCCTCCTATGGTATACCTGCTCTGGAAGTTACTCCCATAATCACCCCATTTGGGACAGAACTTTTCTTTTTTTTTTTTTTGGGACAGAACTTTTCTAAGGAAGCCGGAAGGGAAACAGCTGGGGGAGGTGGGAGCAGAGGAAAGGGCTGGCGCAGGGCCAGCGGGTGGTAGCCTTTGGAACGCTTGGGGTTTGGGAATTGGTATGGCAGCCAGTGGCTAGCCCTAAGTAGCATTGTGTGTGCTTTTTGTGTGTTCGTGTGTTTGCCAGAACGAGCGTGAGTTTTCAGTGTTTCCTTCCCAGAATTGAGGCATCCTTTGGACCAGGAATGCAGGGTGGCCTGGGAAGGGAAAAGATCTGTCTGCTGGTTCTCTTGCCTACAGAAAGAAACCCAAACTCCTTAGTTGGGCACACAGGGTCTTCTTGATCTGGCTCCAGCCGACCTTTGCAGCTCTTTCCTCGGTCCTTTCATCTTCTAGGTCTTCTGGCCGGTTCAGTGACTTCACACTCTTGTCCGTGCTGTTTTCTCCGCTTGGGAAGCCTTTCCCTAGCCTCCTCACTTGGTATGTTCTTGCTGATGCTTCATTCCTTTTTGTGTTTTCTGCTAGATAGAGACAGAGTCAACTTTGGTCCTAGTTCAGGCCAACATGCCTGTGACATACATTGTGGGTAATGTCCTTATTCCTGGCTTATTTTTTAACTCTCATTTTTAAGTCATGCAGATTTCCTCTATTACTTGCTTTTGGTGTTATGCTAGGACTGTACTGGAAAAGCTTTTTCATGTCCTTTTGGGTACATAATTGGGGATAAATATGCTTATGGCTTCTCACAATTTAGTTCAAATGTTACTCCCTCACCCTGTTAACTGCTCTGTTCTCCTGCAACACTTGAGTGATATTTCTGTAAAAGCACTTAACACAGTATACTTTCTCAGTTTCCGTGTCTGTCTTCCTCCAGCTAAACTATGTGCTCCTCCAGGGCGGGCACCATGTCGCACTCATCTTTGTACCCCCAGCATCTAGCAGTGTTGGCATGTAGTAGGCACTCAAGAAATGTGTGTTGAATGAACGATGCCCGTGACAAGCAACTGGACTTTATTCTTTCCTGACCCTTGCTCCTATGACACACTTCCTCCTGGCTGCCACTAGCACCCCTTCAGAGCAGAGCTGCTCTTCTCTAGGGAAACCGGAAGGGAAACAGGTGAGGCTCAGAGAGGTGGAGGCAGAGGGAAGGGGAGCTTTTTGGAAGTACGTCTGTGGTTTTGGCGCTGGTGTCTGGGGGCAGGAGTGGGGCTGGCCTGGAAGCGGGCATTTCCTTGGGTGGCTGGGAAGTGATCGGGGACTGAGGCTGCTTTCTTCACAGCTATGGCCAAGGACATCCTGGGTGAAGCAGGGCTGCATTTTGATGAGCTGAACAAGCTGCGCGTGTTGGACCCTGAGGTTACCCAGCAGACCATAGAGCTCAAGGAGGAGTGCAAGGATTTTGTGGACAGTGAGTGTCCTTTGGGGAGACGTGGTGCCCTGCCTCCACCCCCACCCGCAGCTGTCATCCTGGCCAGAACAGGGCTAGTGGCTCTCTGGATGTTGTCTGGGCTTTGTGAATTCCCGCATACCAACCACCTTGTCTCCCTGCTCTCTAATGCTCACGTGTAGTCAGACACAGAGCACCAAACAAGACAAATGGTGAAGTGGAGAGAGGATATCCCATCTTTGATTTTTTTGCTCTCAGAAACCTTGAACTTCATGGGGCAGAACTATGGCTTGAGGGTGGGAAAGAGTTATGTACTCATGATTTGATTTCTTGGAAGTTCAACAGACTCAATGAGGTCATTTTTTAGCTAGATATCCAGGACACCTCCTGTCCCAGCAGGCAAGCAAGCCCAGTGGCAGTGAATACAGGGCAGCTCTAGCTAAAGCAGGGATTTCTGAGCCTTCTGCGCACTCCATAGTCTGTAGAAAGCTTGACTGGTGAAGGGCGGCATGGGCTCCATTGCCAGTCTTCTCACCCACCGCCTGTTGTCCTTCCTCCCTGGGTGCTAGTTCACTCCTCAGTAGAATGAGGTCCCACCACACCGAAGGACATTGAAAATAGCAAATGGGAGATTAGGTACTTAAATGCTTTGAGCTCTTTATCAGTTCTGGTCACAGTTGGCAAACCACTGCCCCCCTAACCACCATTAACTGAAATCCAGTTCCTTATCTGGGGCTAGTCAAGAGGCTCTGTTCAAGTCCTGAGTCAGTTCTTTCATGAACATGGCCTTTGTGCTTCCTGTTACTCCTGGGAAAGCAGGACAGAGCCTGCGCAGAGGATGGGCCCATCAGGAGCCTCATAACTAAGGTTAATAGTCACTGGCTGGCTCATTTGGGACTCAAGGTCCAAGTATACCCCAGTCCAGCTCTGGGCACCTGGCCACCCTTCTCTCGGTTTAAACCAAGGGTGGAAGACTTTAGGTCAGCGGGCACCAAATTGTTTTCACACAAATTAGAAGGGGCAGTTAGCCCTGCCCTCTTGCCACAAGGGAACACAGAGGGAGTGGTGATGCCGAGAAAATAAAACCTTTTATTTTCTGTTCTTTCCCTAAAAGAAATTGGCCAGTTTCAGAAAATAGTTGGTGGTTTAATTGAGCTTGTTGACCAACTTGCAAAAGAAGCAGAAAATGAGAAGATGAAGGTAAGATCAGCAGGTCTTCTAAATCTTGTCCTGGGACATGGTTCAGTCGCTCTTTTTCTTGGGGAGGGGGATGTGGGATTTTATTTAGAACAGGATTTTGGGGCGCCTGGGTGGCTCAGTCATTAAGCGTCTGCTTTCGGCTCAGGCCATGATCTCAGGGTCCTGGGATCGAGCCCCACATCGGGCTCCCTGCTCCGCGGGAAGCCTGCTTCTCCCTCTCCCACTCCCCCTGCTTGTGTTCCC